TATTAACCTCATACCAAAACCAGACAAAGGCATCTCAAGAAAAGAACACTACAGACCCAATATCCTTTATGAATGTAGATGCAAAAATTAGCAACAAAATAATATTGAACCAAATCTATCACCATCTAGAAAGTCTTATACACCATGAATATCCCTTATGAATACAGATGCAAAAGTCATCCAAAAAAAAATACTATCAACCCAAGTCTATCAATGCTTAAAAAGTATTATATACCATGACCAAGCGGGATTTATCCCAGGACTGCAAGATATTTTCAACATATAAAAATAAGCCAGGGCTTCCCTGGTGGCGCAGTGGTTGAGAGTCCGCCTGCCGATGCAGGGGACACGGGTTCATGCCCCGGTCTGGGAAGATCCCACACGCCGCGGAGCGGCTGGGCCCGTGAGCCATGGCCGCTGAGCCTGCGCGTCCGGAGCCTGTGCTCTGCAACGGGAGAGGCCACAACAGTGAGAGGCCCGCGTACCGCCAAAAAAAAAGAAAAAAGAAAAAAAAAAAGCCAATGTTAAAAAAAAAAAAAAGCCAATGTAATACACTGTATAATAAAGGGGGTAAACACTTGATTATCACTATTAATGGAGAAAAAGAATTTGAAACCCTTTCAATGATAAAAACACTAAACACTCGGAGTAGAAGGAAACTTCACCTATGAAAAGCCCACAGCTAACATCATACTTAATGTTGAACGACTGAAAGCTTTTCCCCTAAGATCAGAAATGAGGCAAGGATGTCCACTCTCACCACATCTACTCAACACTGTACTAGAGGTTCTAGCCAGAACAATTAGGAAGGGGGGGAAAAAAAAGGCATTCATATCGATTAATCTATTTGTAGATGACATGATCTGGTATATAGAAAATCCTAAAAACTCCACCAGTACATTATTAGTGCTGATAAGTTCAGCAAGTTTACCGGACACAAGATCAATATAAAAAACCAACTCTATTTTTATACACTTGCAATTAACAATCCAAAAATGAAATTAAGAAAACAATTCCATTTATAATAGCATCCAAAAAATAATTGGGAGTAAAAATAAAAGGAGTATAAAAATTTATACACTAAAGATGACAAAACTAAATGGGAAGACATCCTGTGTTCATGAACTGGAAGATTTAATATTATTAAAATGGCATTCCCCAAATTAATCTCCAGATTTAATGCAATACCTATCAAAATTCCACTGATTTTTTTGACAGAAATTGACCAGGTGACCCTAAAAAGTTCATATGGAACTGCAAAGGACCCAAAACAATTTTGATAAAGAACAAAGAGGACTCAACGCTTCCCAATTTAAAAACTACAATGCTACTGTAATAAGGACAAGTGTGGTACTTGCTTTAGGACAGACAGATCAATGGAATAAAATTGTGTCTAGAAATAAACCTGTATATTTATGGTCAATAGATTTCAATAAGGTCACCAAGACAATACAATGGGGAAAGAATAATGTCTTTCGACAAATGGCGCTGGCACAGCTAGATGCTCACTTGCAAAAGAATGAATTTGCACCCCTATCTCACAACACACAGAAAATTAACTTCAGTAGATCGTAGATCTAAGCGTAAGAGCTCAAACAATAAAACTCTTCTTAGAGGAAAACATAGCTGTAAGCCTATGACCTTTAATTAGGTATGACACCTAAAGCACGAGCAACCAAAGAAGATAAATTCGACTTCATCTTAAAATTAAAAATTTCATCACAAAATTAAAAACTTTTGTGTACCAAAAAACGGTATCAAAAAGTGAAAAGACAACCAACAAATGGAGAAAATATTTGCAGATCACTTATCTGATAAGGGTCTAATATGCAAAATAGACAACTCTTACAACTAAACAATAAAAAGACAATTCAATTTTTTAAATGAGCGTAAGATTTTAATAATTTCTTCAGAGAAGATATATGGGTGGCCAATAAGCACTTGGAAAGATGTTCAGCGTTATTAGCAACTAGGGCAATGAAATCACAACCACGATGAGAAACCACAACCACTGAGATGGCTGTGATTTTAACAAACAGACAATAACAAGCATTAGCAAGGATGTGGAGAAATTTGAATTCTTATACATTGCTAATAGGGATGCAAAATGATGCAGCCCCTTTGGAAAACAGTCTGTCTGACAGTTCCTCAAATAATTAAACATTGACTGGTATGACCCAGCAATTACACTCCTAGATATATACCCAAGAAACTGAAAAACGTATATTCATATATAAACGTACATGAATATTCATGGAAGCATTATTCCTAATAGCCAAAAAGTGGAAACAACGCAATGTCCACTAACTTAATGGATAAACAAATGTGGTACATCTATACAATGAAATACTATTCAACCATAAGAAGGGAGAACTTAGACATACTACACAAGGATAAACCTTGAAAACATTACACTAAGTGGAAGAAGGCAGGAACGAAAGGCCACATATTGTATGATTCTGTTTATATAAAATGTTCACAATTGGCAAATCCGTAGAGATAGAAAGTGTATTAGTAGTTGCCATGGGATGAGGGGAGGGAGAATGGACATGACTGCTCGTGGGTACAGGGTTTCTTTTGGGGGTGAGGGCACTGAGCCGGCCACCTGTGGGTCAGCACTGGCCCAGGTGGGTCTCCCTCAGCAGGGCTGTGGGCAGGCCCTCCTCTCGAGAGCCCATGGTGGGCACTGGGGCGGACAGGCTGCCAGGGGGCCGTGGCTTTACCTTCTCTAAGAACAGGACTTTTTAAGCCCATCGTTGTCTCTCACTCCCTCTGCGCAGAAGACCACAGAGAGGCGCAGCTGCACCCCCATGAGAAACCACATGGACAGCCGCTTCCCCCAGGCCTCATTCCACCAAAAATACACTGGGTGTCTGCCCCTGTGTTATGGTCAAGATCACCATCTGCTTCCTGAGTTTCAGGATCACAGCTGACAGATGCGTATCACAACTGTGAGTCATACGTGCCTTTTTTTTTTTCCTGAAAATGATTTATTTTGCTCATTTCCCCCCCTACCCTCCACTTTGTTCTGCCATCTGGCAACTACTTTTTATCATAAAAATCATAATTTCTTGTCCCCCTCATTTCTACTTCATGAGCAGTTAGTTAGTTCTAAATTGTCAGTAGATAGATAGTAACTTGGTTACTTAGTTTTCAGTACTCTGCTCAGAAGAGCAAAATGTTCATCCAGCAGGTGCTTCAAAAATGTTTGCTGGGTGAGGTAGCTCCACCAAGTCTGTATTTTGGCCTGGCCTCTGTCTCTGGATGATTTGAATCATCTTGGCAGGAAGCAATAATATGCATTTCTGAGATGATTTCTGTTTCCCTGGAGCAGGGGCGGCCACATCCGGAGCTGTGTGCCCCCTCCAGCTCACCCCTCCCGGGTCTGCGCCAGCATCTGGTGGGAGAGGTCCCCTTCCCGTTCCGGGGGGACCTCCTGGGTTTCCTCAGGAATCCTGAGCTGTTCCTGCAAATTCCCTGAAAGCCAGCTTGACTCATTCTAGGCCTTTGCAAGCGGGCAGTGAGTCAGCGGGTCTTTGCTTCTTTCCCACATGGATGATTCAATACACATCCCACAAATGAGAAAACTGGGGCACAGCAAGGTTCAAATAAATAGTCAAGGTCTATGTAGTGAAGAGTAAACAGGGAGGCCAAGCTGGTCAGTCTGATGCTAGGATCTATGCTCTTTAGTATCCTGCCTAAAAGCCAGGAAGGGGTCTGGAAAGCCACACTGTGGGGGGAATGGGGAAAGAATTTCATTTTTTACTTCATGTAATTATGTATAGATATATGCACATACTGTTTTTAAAAACCTAATTTATAAAGGAGATGAAACTAAATATAGCCACACATTGAAGAGGCAAATCACAGAAAGCTAACTATCCATTTTCTTTAAAAGCTACAGATTTTCCACCTTAAAAATGATCTGAAACAGTTACTAGGCATAGAGTCAAAGTGACTTTGAAATGTTGGATACAAATAATACAGACCAGTGGCCTAAAGAATGTCTTCACACACTGAATATGATTTTGCAAGTGCAGTTCATATTTTGGGAGGTCCTCGCTCTGTCCCTGTTGGGCTTTCCAAAGACACCTGTTGAGTGACTGAATAAAGACTAAGCGGGCCAAACCCCACACTGTTCCCGCAACCCGTCTGCAAAGAGAAGGGCCTGCCAGCGGAATGGGAATGAATTCCCAGCATTGTTCCACCCTGCACAGTTGGGCAGCCGGAAGGCTCTTGCCCAGAGCTAGCGTGATTCATTAAGGTGTCTGGAATCCCTGGATGAGACACGCTGTGCACAAGAACCCTATGACTCATCTGTTCCCATCGCTGCCCTCTCTTCAGCACTTTTTTTCCAGCCTCTCTCTCTGGGGCACTGCACTCTTTCTTTCCAGTTATTCTGAGTCCTGCCTGACACATTCCAATCACTGACAGAAAGGCAGATGTGAGAAAAGCTTCCCTTCTATTTTTAAAAGCTGCCTCAGGATCCACATTGCTGATGCTGCTGGCGGCTCTGGCACGATCAGTCCGGGGGGATGAGTTCTGGCCAACCAGAATGGAAAAGTCCCCATGGCAGCCATCTCTAACACGGCTTTTGCTTTGAGAGTTTGTTTCTTACCCCAGAAAATGTTTGTTTAAGGCTTCTGAAATACCTGTATATCCTGGGTGTCACTTGATCAACAGCAAGAACACACACGAAACCTGCTGTTTTGTGGACATGTAAAATATAAACTGACATTTATTTTTGTTTGCACTCTTAAAACAATTGTGTAATGGAAGATCTGCTGGAAGAAGACGTGGCTTGAATAATAGAAATGTGAGTAGAAAATACCAGAAAATGTCTCACGAATTTGTACTTAAGAGGAAAAGACACTGGCGAAATCTGTCTCCCTGCCTCTTCCCATGGCTCCCGGGATGGGCTCTGGGGCGAAGAAGTGGTCCCGGTGCTGTGAGCTTTGGCCTGTGCCAGTGCAGGGGGGGCCCACCCCACCCCACACCCCCTAATCCTTCTCATACAACCGCCCGTAGAGAGCTGCCGTCACCAGGCCGGAGGACAGTCCGCACTT